GCGGTGATGTAAATTTGATATTTTTTTACAAAAAAATCTTTACGTAATTAATATTACTGATCCAGCTCGTGGCATCGCAAGACCATGAAGGACAGTGTTGACGAGGCCTTCGTCCAGCACTGAATGGATCGTGGCTGATGATAGCGGTGAAATGTATACTTTGAAAATAGAGAAATCTGGGTGATTCAGAGAGCCAGAGTCCTGATTTCAAGCCTGAGTTCCAGGCACTCATGGTTGAACCAAGTTCTCAAATGTAGCGATTTTCTCAGCCTGGTCACCAATGACTGCACAATAGACCATCACGTTCAATTTCTGTGTGGACTAAAATTTGACTCATAACTGGGTTGTCGAGGTAAGGGCGTGTAAAAATGTATCGTTCAACCCGGCACGGCCAATCTTGTGAACTTGTCAAATGTATTACTGCTTGAGCACATCCATAAGTTGGAGCGTTTCGGGTGTAGGAGGGTTTACGACACATCTTTTACATGACCTAACCCAAAAATCCATTATGCATTGTAACAATTGGTCGTGAAAGTCGACTTATATGTGTACAAAAATTCCGTCAAATTTGTCTTACGTTCTAGCCGATAACTAAAAATATCAGTTTGACTCGTGCAACTAACATTTCACTCTGCAGCAGGGCGGCAGATGGCAAAGTGCTACCCCTTCCTGTGAAGCGGAGGTCACGTAACTGGGAGTCTTTCTTTTGAACGTAGTTCTCGGTTATCTCTTTGCACGGACCGTTCTCTCGTCCGGGACGAAGCACTGTTCTGCCAGTTCCGAATGGATTCATCTCAGGACAGCAAGAGCACTTTTGACATATAATATATGGGAAAAGTCAGTTTTATTAAATTATGTAGCTAAGTTTCTCATTTGCACCAATAAGAATTCCTATATAAAATAGTCACTATGCACTTTTTAACGATACATTGAATCACGTGTTGAGTGATTTATAATGTTAGATACATATGAATTGTACTTGTAATGACTGTAGGTTTGAATGTCCTGCAAAACAAAATTGAACCACAGACTTTCAAAATCTTTCCTTTCAAGAGTTTTCCCACATCACTTTCTATGGCTGAATGCCAACACTCCAGACAAAACTACTTGGAGGAAATGTAAATATTGTGTTTCCACCCGAGGAATCATGGAACGACGAGTTTCGAGAGATTTGACGCACGTTTTTCACAGCCGCGTGTAATCCCCGCGTGATGTTTCTGGTTCGGGCCGCATTCCGGGTTTTTCCCTCTCTTGAGCTTTGGCCACGTGCTGCTATGGGCAACTTCAAAAGCTGATTCGGACTCCCTGGATTTTATTCTGACTGGGTAACAGTTTCAAGGGAAACGTCAAATTTATAATAGCTATATTTGGCTCCTGACAATTGTTCAAATTATCGGTGAGCTGAAACAATTATCATTGGCACGTGAAACACTTGTGCAAGTGACAATTTAATTTACGATTCCGTAGTTGAATTGCCCGCATTAGCTCGGGGGAGGTTGTGCTCCGGGTCATTCCCATTGAGCATGCGCGTGTGCGCAGGACTTCCCTCCTGAGTGTACCTGGCACGGGCCACTGCAGCTTTGCCGATTTCACTCCACCGATGTGGCGCCAGCAGCTCCCTCCAACTGTGGGACCTCGCCGAGTTTAGCGACCACCGCCGCCGTGCAGCCAGGACGCTCTCGCTGCCCCCATTGCACACTTCCATGGAGCTGCCGTCAACTCGATATAGAAACCTGTGGGTTGGAGTGAACATTCCTCGTGTCGATGAGCTTGCAAGATATCTCGGTAGTCACCATCAAGAGTGCCGCGCTGGCGAGATGTTATCTCGTGGATTCGATCCCGACCCTGATGCCTGTATATTTGGAGTGTGCATGTTCTCCCCGTGGTCGTGTGGATTTTTCTCCTGGTCCTCTGGTTTTTCCCTCCACGTTTATAACCATCGTGCGTTTTGAGTATTCGGCCGCTATAAATTTCCACGTGATAAGTCACTTTGTTGAGCTATCATTTGTGGCCAGATCGCTTCTGAAAAAGAGCTAATAGCTCACTGGGCTTTACCTGGTATAATAAAATAATGGTTGTCATGTTGACCAATGACAAAAATAAGATACTAAAGACTGGATGATATAAATGGTCCCGAGGTTTAAATTAATATATCAGCCATATAACACGCACATTTCCAGCCACTTGGCCTCTTCCATCGACTGCCCATACATGTTTACTGCACTAACGCGTCTTACTCTGAAAAGGATATGCCTAATGTTGCATTTATTTGCTGTGAATGCGTTTCTGTTGTCAGCTCAAAACTATGAGTCGGCAGTGGACGTGCGAGGGAGTTTGCTGCAATAGAGGCCGTGGACTCCTGTACTGTGTCATTGCTCACCACACCTCTTATCGAATACTGTCACGTGTACACAACTGCATATAAATGTTGAGGGTAAAAGTGCAGCCCTACGATTTTTTTGCTCGCTCCACTGCTGGCGGAAGGGCCTCCACTGGAAAGGGCTCCGGAGATAATTTCGGCCTCTTCCACGCTGGCAAGACGTCTTGGAAGAGACAGGAATACCCTTCCCATACTTTAGCCACCACACACGACCTGGTGGTGAACCCAATTCATACAGCTGCTGGGTGGGCAGAGGCAGTGGAGGATTTAAGAAACTTGCCTCCATTGTTTCAACTGTACACAAACTGCATATAAATGGGGCTCTGTGTCTGTGTATTCCTCAGTCTTACTATCACTGACCTTGCAGCGGTTGTAACGTTTGGACCTTTTTAATTGAACACACTGGATTAGCAACTCGTGGAAATTTCAAGCTTTTAAAATAAAATGTAAAAAGTTAAATGTATTTTCTCTGGTAAATATCGGTCAGATTCAAGTGGCAGATCCAAGAGGGGGCAGGGTATTTACAATCTTCCCCCCACCCTCTCCTGGGCTTCGCCACTATACCCTGTGCAGCCACCTATTTTCCTATAATCATGAGCAGGGTTTTCCCATGACGACAATGTGATATTGTGTCGCGTGCCATACCATTCCCAAGAGCAATGTTGCCGACTGCTGCGGCTCAAGTGCGGCACTGCTGCGGCTTACCGGCAAACACCGCGGCACATTCTGGCGTTTTATTCTCGTGTTCACGTCGATGTATGGCACATGTCAACAAAAATTCACATGCGGTCTGGCGTTACAGCTCGTGGCGCGTATTTAATTACGGAACTCAGTGTTGGGATTTTACAGGGTTGGCTGAACTTTTTAAAACACGCGAGTGGAAGGTTTGTGGTGGGGTCTGGGGTGGCTCACGTCCGGGATGACCGCAAGCTGCTCGTGTTGGCTGTGCCATCTCGCGTGGTGGTTTAGCGGGTCCTGGTGACGCAGGACCCGAGGGTCTCGGACATGAGGTCGGGTTTCAATCGCGGTGGCAACCTGCGGCTCTTTAAGGACTGCTTCGTGACGTCATTTACTTAGGACCACCGTCTTGTATTCACCCACAGTGCATTGCGGCTCTTATGATTTTGGTTGCCGACCCCCTGGTTTAAATGGATTATTTAGGGATGGATCCCATGTGTTTTTAATATTGGCTCCTTTAATTATTTATCCCACGTGGTCCAGAGGCTTCAGCTGCTTTCGTAAATGATTCTATGGCACTCAGGATTCGGTCCGTGATATTGCCACGTGCTCTCATCACGTGGTGTTACGTGCAGCTACTTCAGGTTGGGTTTAAAGTACAGTCTATTCTATAACGCGCGTTGTTTTCACAACGCGATAATGAATGTATGCGGGGAAAAAATTGTAACGCGGATGCGAATTAGACATAACGCGATCAAGTAAACAGAACTTCGTCGCGCGAGTAGAAATAAGCGGTCGTACGCCTGCCTCCGCGTAGCATCACGCAAGACGGGATGCTCCTGGACACTTCTAGATGCTATCCATGCGCCTCCCATTCTCTGTTCGGCCTGCGTACGCTTCTCACTGTGATCTATCCTATATTAGTTGTTTATCATCACGCGATTTTTCCATAACGCGGTGTTCTTCAGGAACGCAACAACGACCGCGTTATGGGAGAACAGACGGCCGCACCCATCTGGCGTGGAGAGACCCAGAGCTGCCCGCGCCACTGCTATTATATATTATGCTCGTGGTAGTATTCCAATTTGTCCTGAGATCCACAATAAACATTTTACCATCCATCCGTGGGTCCAGATCCCACTATTGGCCACCGCTGAGTTAGTATGTCGAAATTTCTCACGTGGAAAAAACGTAATTGCAAAAATGTCCCATTTTTAAGGTTATCCATAACATGCTAAGCCTAAACAAAATAAAGCTGTGAAAAATTGGTCAGTTTTTGGTGACAAGCGGCATAGGTTAGAACAGTGATGCATCGTATATATGTGTAACTTCTTTCACACCGTACGAAGCCAGTCGTGCTAATCAGAGGTACATGATCCGTCAGAAAGCTTTGACCAACAATAGCACAGATTTAACCCTTTAATACTAAGCATTGTTTTTTTTGTAATCGAGGGACTCGACTCTATGTCACGAAAATCCGTTTCTTGTACAAAGCATCGGTGTCCTGTCTCCTGTCCCCTGTCTCCTGTGCTGTCTCCTGTCCCCTGTCTCCTGTGCTGTTTCCCGCCCCCCGTCCCCTGTCTCCTCTCCCCTGTCTCCTGTCTCCTGTCCCCTGTCTCCTGTGCTGTCTCCTGTCCTACCAAGATGCACTTCGATGGTGCTGTGCGCATTTAAAGCCCGCAATGTAAAAACTTCCCATAACTTGTGGGAAGTCTTGAAGCCTGGTGTCAAGTTGTCTGTGTGGTCCCCTCCTTACCAACACACGTGTCCATGTGTGGCAGACACAGGGCAAGAGATGTGCGTGGTGCATGTTGCTGTGTGGTCTCCTTACCAACACACGTGTCCATGTGTGGCAGACACAGGACAAGATATGTGCGTGGTGTATGTGCGTGGTGTATGTACACACCTTGCACACACACAGAGGGGCCCGGGTAACGCCACACGCTTATCATCTCACATTTATTCTGCATAATTAATATAAATACACTAATATGTATACGGCTTAAGCTGATCCGGATGATGCGATTAAGTGCTTGTATATACACTGCTATATGTGCAGCTGAACACGCGCTAGGCGAAACGGTTCAGAATTTGACGAAATTTTTTTCTTCCACAAAAAAAACTCCAAAGCGATATTTCTTCCAGTGAAACAGCTAAACTTTACCGAGTTCAACTCGAATTCATGAACTTTATAAAAACGAGAGAAAGAGAGAGTCCCTTAATTAACGTAAATTGTATATAACTTAATTGTTTTCTTCATCAGGCACGGCAGGTGAACGCGGAGTTCCCGTCAAAACGCACAGCGTTCTCTCTCCTCTCGGCGAGTTACTTTTGGTCCACGCAGTTGCACCAAGTACACCACACGCCACGCACGAGCACATCTTACATTTGCGCTTTCGACTCTGCACTGCTAAGCTACATTTTGAGATGCATATTGATTTGAAGTGGTGGAGCGGTGTTACACCAGCGGTTGGCGTAGACCGCGCCCAGTATGAGCCCAATGACCTGAGTTCAATTCCCGGCCATGGCTCAAGTCGGCGATACATGCGGAGCGAGGGGTCCCCTGTGGAGTGGGGGGGGGGGGGGGGCTATGGAATGAGGGGTCCCCTGTGGAGTGGGGGGGTCCCTGCGGAGTGAGGGGGGTCTTATAGAGGGAGGGGGGCCCTGGATAGTGCCCCCCATGGTGGGTGAGCATCCCTGGCGTCGATCACTGAGCTGAGATGCGCATCCCGATCCCTGATTGTCCACGCTTGTGTTCCGTGTAAAGCACTCTCGGTTATCGCTTTGGTTTCACGAGTTGGGTGATCAAAACAAGAATAGCGTTATTGGTGCAAGAAATTTCCACCTTAACGACACGTGACGGTGTTCCACAAGACTCGCGTCTAAACGACGCTCATCGACGAAGTCGGTGCGTGGCGCGACAAACTCTACAGCAGCGATTTAATCTGCGATAGAAAAATATTCTTATTATTTTTATCCAATTTGCTGGAATACTCGATGGTTCGGACAAAAATACAACTTTTATCACCTATGTTACCTGTTCTGTATACATGGTGTGTTACATTGCATCTCTCATTTGTGATTTGTTTACACATAACACTCGCTCTCCCTAGCCCCCAACTATCATGGCATCGTATTCATTTAAAAAAACACATGGATTACATTTCAACTGCTGTTCTCTGTGACGTCCGCATCTATTGCTCGCACAGACATCACCAGTCTCGGCACCGCTTTTCCGCTGCAAAGTCGAGCCGGCCCAGTTATTGCTTCCACCGCAGAAGCCGCGCGACGCCGCGTCCCTACGGCGTGCGACGTCACGCCCAGCGAACGCGTCGTTGGCCCCGCCCCTGGCCCTGCTTGACCCCTGAGCCGGAACGTCTCGCACGGTTCGTAAGTAACATGAGTGGAAAAACCGCCCGTACGGCGCTGGCTCGCCCCGGACGTGCCCCAGCGGAAAAGGGGACCTCGTCCCTTCGCACGTCGCTGCGGCGGCCCCCCTCGTGACCCACGGGCAAGGCCGCCATCGGCTCGCCTCGGCCTCCGGGGGGCCTCGCGAAGGCGCCCCCCGGCTTAGTAGTAGGAGCTGAGGTGCGAGGCGACGTGCGCGCCCGGGTGCCGAGGAATGGCAGCCTGCGTCGCGTACATTCCCCCGGCCGCGGCCGCGGCCGCGGCCGCCGCGCTCCAGTACGGGTTGCCGGCGCCGAACGCGGCGGGCGACGAGACGGGGCCGTGGGGCGGCGGTGGGACGGCGCCGGCGAAGTTCGCCTTGTGCTGGTGGTAGGAGGCCTGCGCGTAGGAGAGCTCGCCCGGGTAGCGGTAGGCGCCGGGCTCGGGCGGCGGGTGCGGCTGCAGCGCCTGCGTGATGCCGTGGAAGTCGAACTTGTAGGCGTAGCGCTTGCCGTGCACCTTGGTCATGATGTTCTTGTCGTAGTAGTAGCGCAGCGCGCGGCTCAGCTTGTCGTAGTTCATGTTGGGCTTGGACTTGCGCTCGCCCCAGCGGCGCGCCACCTCGTCCGGGTCGGTCATCTTGAACTCGCCGTTGGTGCCCTCCCACGTGATGCAGCCCGCGTTGGCGCAGTCTGACAGCAGCTCGAGCAGGAACTGCCACAGCTGGATCTGGCCGCTCCCTGGCACAGGCGACAGCCGGGGGGGGGCACGACGTGCACCATCAGCACCCCCATCACCACCATCACCCCCAAGCACCAGGACACGAGGGGCACCAACAGCACCACCATCACCCGGAAAGCGACGGTTCACTCGCGTCACCGCTGGCGCAAGGGCCCTTCTATGAGAGGGAGCTCTATCGAGATAGATTCTAGGCTAGTGTTCTTCATTGCAAGGCCCGCGGGCCACTGGCGGTCTCCGATGGCCTTTAGTGCTGCCCCCGACATTACACAAAACTGAAAACACCCCCATCATCATCGTGCTGCTGTCAAACCCAGCACTGGTTTCAAATATGTCACGGCCCCCGCGCTACTGATGATGTCTTATCGGCGAAAGTGCCCCCCCCCCCTTTGAAGATGAGTGAAGAGCACTGCCCTCGAGGGTATCTGACCCACTCTTACACGCTGGGCCGACGTCATTGAATAGATGGGAGTGTCCACACTTGACCCCACCACACGTGACCTACGACCGTTCAACTGTGTTGTTGTCACCAATATTTGCTGACAGAGGCGGTGGAATATTGGTGTGTTAGGGGAGGGGGGTGGATGTAAGAACCTCGCCCTCGGTGTTTCACCCGCCGCGCCTGGAGATGGAATCGAACCGGCGACCTCTGGATCGTAGAGGTCGCCGGACTGCGTCGGCGATGCGCTCGTGCAGAGAATTCTCTGCAGCTTCTATCCGTTGTATAGAACATCCTCGTGTAGTTACAGACATTTTCGAAGGTCTCCCGTTACCATGTCGGCTATGGGGGGCTGTCTGACCATACTTCACCACGCGGTGTGTAGTAAACATCGCCACTGAGGAGACAAAAGCGGGCGGGCGGGCGTGGTGCTGGCCACCCACCCCCTCGTGTGCCGTGCCGGCCTTCACAGGTGCTACTCGCTCACAGAACTTGCCCCAACAGTCTGCTCAGGCTATTGGGGGGACCTTTGTCTTTATGTGACACGGCCGCGTCCCCGCGCTCCACGTGTGCGCGAAGCCAAGCGTGGCGCTTGCGAGCGAACGAGAGAGAGGAGGAGCACGCCTCGGTACCTGGGTTGGCGAGTCGGCTGCTCGTGGGACCCAGGATTTGGTACGGATCTGGATTTCGGAGTCGACATCCACGAGAGAGGGAGAGAGGGAACAACGCGAACACAGAGACATCCACATCATGCTGAACTCGGTGCATTGTGAACTCGCACTAAACGACAGGAATTTAACCAAATCATGCCGCTGTCGAACCCAAAAATCAATCATGAATTTTTAGCGACTAAAAACTTCTGCGTTAATTTCAAGACATTCTCTGCAATATTTTACAGCACTTTGTCAATCGACTGCTGGATGATGGCCTTCCCACACCATGTCAAGATTAACTTAGATTTATAAGATGACGATAAAACTAAACTATTTTTTATTTTACAAGGTCAGTTCCACTGAGCTATACAGTTCTTGTTCAGAAGTGACCTGACCACAAATGTGAGATCAACGAAGTGGCTTCTCGTGCGGAAATTCATCGCAGCCGAATTCTCAAAAGGCGTGATGTTGATTCTAAATGCCGAGGGGGAGAAACCGGAAGACGCGGAGAAAAGTCCACGTGACCATGGGGAGAGAGACACGCACACTCCAAATATACAGCATCAGGGTCGGGATCGAACCCACAACCTCCTGCACACCAGGCGAGGTAGTTCACGTCTCATAGCCACCGTGATGATGATGAGAGAGACACGCAAACTCCAAATATACAGCAGCAGGGTTGGGATCGAACCCACGACCTGCACACCAGGCGAGGTAGTTCACGTCTCATAGCCACCGTGATGATGATGAGAGAGACACGCAAACTCCAAATATACAGCAGCAGGGTTGGGATCGAACCCACGACCTCCTGCACACCAGGCGAGGTAGTTGACGTCTCATAGCCACCGTGATGATGATGAGAGATACACGCAAACTCCAAATATGCAGCAGCAGGGTTGGGATCGAACCCACGACCTCCTGCACACCAGGCGAGGTAGTTGACGTCTCATAGCCACCACGGCGCCCCAAAGCCTCGGCGTGTGCCGCCACAGCTACCAACGAGCGCCACTTTGTCAACAGAAGCCGGAGCCACTGGGGGGGGGGGCTCATTCCGTCGGAATGGGACGCGACGAGTGAAGCGACGCAGACTTCGCGAGACGTACCGGGCTGGGTCCTCTGCTCTCCGGATTTGTTGACGGCCGGGACCGCGGCTCCGGCTTCTGTGGACAAAGTGGCGCTCGTTTGCAGCTGTGGCGGCGCACGCCGAAGGTTTGGGGCTATGCGGTGGCTCGGAGACGTTAACTACCTCGCCTGGTCTACGGAAGCGCGTGGGTTAGATCCCTGACGCTGACGTCTGTTAATAACAATTTACATTTGTAAGGCGCATTTCATCCGAGGATCCCAATGCACCAAATATGGCCAGCTCGCTTCTAAAAAAGAGCTAAATAGTTCAATTGACCTTACCTGGTAATAGATACAAATGTTTAATTTTGGCTCCCGCGTTCCACGTGACCGTGACGTGTGCGAGGGGGTTCTTACGATCCGACATCCCTGTCCTCGCTTCAGGTCGACCCCGATAACGCAAAGTCAGATGTCCGTGATGCCACGGTCAAGACGCCACTCCTCCTTCCCACCACAAGTGGCATCGCTCTGGCAAACCCGAGTTCGATTCCCGCTCGTGGCCAACACCAGCGACGATTATCTGAACCCGTCTTGGGCTTCCCTTCGGTCGTGGCTGTGTGACTCTGTGGTCGTAGCCGTGTGGTTGTGCAGCTGTGTAGCTGTGTGGCTGTGTGGTTGTAGCTGTGTGGCTGTAGCTGTGTAGCCGTGTGGCTGTAGCTGTGTGGCTGTAGCCGTGTAGCTGTGTAGCTGTGTGGCTGTGTGGCTGTGTAGCTGTAGCCGTGTAGCTGTCGCTGTAGCTGTGTGGCTGTAGCTGTGTGGCTGTAGCTGTGTGGCTGTGTGGCTGTAGCTGTGTGGCTGTGTGGCTGTAGCCGTGTAGCTGTGTGGCTGTAGCTGTGTGGCTGTGTGGCTGTAGCCGTGTAGCCGTGTGGCTGTGTGGCTGTGGCTGTGTGGCTGTAGCTGTGTGGCTGTGTGGCTGTAGCTGTGTGGCTGTAGCTGTGTGGCTGTGGCTGTGTGGCTGTGGCTGTGTGGCTGTGTGGCTGTAGCTGTGTGGCTGTGTGGCTGTAGCCGTGTAGCTGTGTGGCTGTGTGGCTGTAGCTGTGTAGCTGTGTGGCTGTAACCGTGTAGCTGTGTGGCTGTGTGGCTGTGTGGCTGTAGCTGTGTGGCCGTATGGCTGGAAGTGTGTGGTTGTAGCTGTGTGGCTGTGTGGTTGTGTGGCCGTGTGGCTGTAGCCATGTAGCTGTGTGGCTGTGTGGCTGTGGCTGTAGCCGTGTAGCCGTGTAGCTGTGTGGCTGTAGCCGTGTAGCTGTGTGGCTGTGTGGCTGTAGCTGTGTGGCCGTGTGGCTGTAGCCGTGTAGCTGTGTGGCTGTGTGGTTGTGTGGCCGTGTGGCTGGAAGTGTGTGGTTGTAGCTGTGTGGCTGTGTGGTTATGTGGCCGTATGGCTGGAAGTGTGTGGTTGTAGCTGTGTGACTGTATAGGTGTGTGGCCGTGTGGTTGTAGCTGTGTGGTTGTGTGGCCGTGTGGTTGTAGCTGTGTGGTTGTGGCTGTGTGATTGTACCGGCTTTAGGCGGGGGTTGTGCTGCCTGCTCTGGGTATGGCGGTACGCTGGGGTACGTCAGGGATGAGCTGCCTGGAACGGGAAAAACAGGCAACACGATCACCATCGTCGTTACCAGTGGAGTCGACGCGAATCATAAGACAATGCACCCCCAGTTACTGCATTAAACACGGGGGGGGGGGGGGCAACCAGGGTCGTGAGAGAGGAGTTCGCACGCAGGAAGAGATACCACTCACTCTCAGCAGCAGCATCATCAGCAGCAGCATCATCAGCAGTAGCCAGGGTGCTGTCTGCACGCATCAGGCAGTTCACCAGCGGTTGGGTCAACAAGGCCTGGCTCTGTTTAACACGTTTTGGGTTAGATTGTGTAAATATGGATGTGTCGTTAAACCCACTACCACCCGACATAGCTAATTAGCAAGGTTTGTCACGTAAATACATGACAATTAGTTAATAGTTCAGAACACCTGGCTCTGCTGATGAGACGATGCATGTCTGAATGTTGAAACCGGTCCAGAGTCTTTTTTGTGTTGAACCAATACTGCTGATAAGATGCACTCCCAGAAGGCCGCGTGGCTGATGGAATGTGCAAAAAAAAACACTTCGATTTTAGTGAAAGCAATTTCCCAGTGCGACCTCGATCGCGCGATCGTCGTCACAAGACAAAGAATCCAAGCGGGTCTCGAGCAGGGCAGCGCGGCGCTACGAGTTGGGGAACGGCCCGCAGAAGCGGACATCACAGAGCTCCCTCTAAGATCCCTTTAGTCCCACACACAGTCGTGGGGAGGGGCGGCAGCACTTCCCCACCCACTTTGCATGAGAGTGAGGTTCGTTGCGCGACAGTAAAGCTGATGTCTAATTCTCACAGATGGAGCCAAATTAAGTGTAGAACCAAATCTAATGTGATGGTGGATTTGTTTTGTGTGCAGTCATTGGTGACCAACTCGCTGCACTTGAGAGCCCAGTTTGATCACAACTCAGTCCGTGGTGACGCAGTGGTGAAACTTGTGCCTGCCTCCCAGCAACAAGCGCTTGTGTTCGATTCCCGACTCGGGGGCTTTTCTGATTTGAGTTTCTATGTTATCTCCCTTTTCCGCATGGGCTTCCTCCCACAGATAAAACCACAGGTATGTTCTTCCTCCTATAGCTGAACCCACAGGTATGGTCTTCCTCCCAATGCTGAACCCACAGGTTTGGGCTTCCTCCTATAGCTGAATCCACAGGTTTGGTCTTCCTCCCAATGCTGAACCCACAGGTTTGGGCTTCCTCCTATAGCTGAATCCACAGGTTTGGGCTTCCTCCCAATGCTGAACCCACAGGTTTGGGCTTCCTCCCATGGCTAAACCACAGGTAAGGGGTTCCTCCCACATAGGCACAATGTAACTGATATTGGTCATCCCAGGACTGAAAGATCACCTGCCAGCTACTTAATTATGATCACACAGCAGTAGCAGCAGCAGCAGCAGCAGCAGGAGCAGGAGCAGCAGCAGCAGGAGCAGCAGCAGCAGGAGCAGCAGGAGCAGCAGCAGGAGCAGCAGTAGCAGCAGATGCAGCAGCAGGAGCAGCAGCAGCAGGAGCAGCAGCAGCAGAAGCAGCAACAGAAGCAGTAACAGCAGCAGCAGGAGCAGCAGCAGGAGCAGGACCAGCAGGAGCAGCAGCAGATGCAGCAGCAGGAGCAGCAGCAGCAGGAGCAGCAGCAGGAGCAGGAACAGCAGCAGCAGGAGCAGGAACAGCAGCAGCAGGAGCAGGAGCAGCAGCAGCAGGAGCAGCAGGAGCAGCAGCAGCAACAGCAGGAGCAGCAGCAGCAGGAGCAGCAGCAGCAGGAGCAGCAGCAGCAGGAGCAGGAGCAGCAGCAGCAGCAGGAGCAGCAGGAGCAGCAGCAGGAGCAGCAGCAGGAGCAGCAGCAGCAGGAGCAGCAGCAGGAGCAGGAGCAGCAGCAGCAGGAGCAGCAGCAGGAGCAGCAGGAGCAGGAACAGCAGCAGCAGGAGCAGCAGGAGCAGGAGCAGCAGCAGCAGGAGCAGCAGGAGCAGGAGCAGCAGCAGCAGGAGCAGCAGCAGGAGCAGCAGCAGGAGCAGCAGCAGCAGGAGCAGCAGGAGCAGCAGCAGGAGCAGCAACAGCAGGAGCAGCAGGAGCAGCAGCAGCAGGAGCAGCAGCAGCAGGAGCAGCAGCAGCAGGAGCAGCAGCAGCAGCAGGAGCAGGAGCAGCAGCAGCAACAGCAGGAGCAGCAGCAGCAGCAGGAGCAGCAGCAGGAACAGCAGCAGCAGGAGCAGCAGCAGCAGGAGCAGCAGCAGGAGCAGCAGCAGCAGGAGCAGCAGCAGCAGGAACAGCAGCAGCAGGAGCAGCAGCAGCAGGAGCAGCAGCAGGAGCAGCAGCAGGAGCAGCAGCAGCAGGAGCAGCAGCAGGAGCAGGAGCAGCAGCAGGAGCAGCAGGAGCAGCAGCAGGAGCAGCAGCAGCAACAGCAGGAGCAGCAGGAGCAGGATCAGCAGCAGGAGCAGCAGGAGCAGCAGCAGGAGCAACAGCAGCAGGAGCAGCAGCAGCAGCAGGAGCAGCAGCAGGAGCAGCAGGAGCAGCAGCAGGAGCAGCAGCAGCAGGAGCAGCAGCAGCAGGAGCAGCAGCAGCAACAGCAGCAGGAGCAGCAGCAGCAACAGCAGGAGCAGCAACAGCAGCAGCAACAGCAGGAGCAGCAGCAGGAGCAGCAGCAGCAGGAGCAGCAGCAACAGCAGGAGCAGCAGCAGGAGCAGCAGGAGCAGCAGCAGGAGCAGCAGGAGCAGCAGCAGCAGGAGCAGGAACAGCAGCAGCAGGAGCAGCAGCAGGAGCAGGAGCAGTAGCAGGAGCAGCAGCAGCAGGAGCAGCAGCAGCAGGAGCAGCAGGAGCAGCAGCAGGAGCAGAAGTAGCAACAGCAGGAGCAGCAGCAGCAGGAGCAGCAGCAGCAAGAGCAGGAACAGCAGCAGCAGGAGCAGGAGCAGCAGGAGCAGCAGCAAATGAAGCAACAGCAGGAGCAGCAGCAGCAGGAGCAGCAGCAGGAGCAGCAGGAGCAGCAGCAACAGGAGCAGGAACAGCAGCAGCAGGAGCAGCAACAGCAGCAGCAGGAGCAGCAGCAGGAACAGCAGCAGCAGGAGCAGCAGCAGCAGGAGCAGCAGCAGGAGCAGCAGGAGCAGCAGCAGGAGCAGCAGCAGCAGGAGCAGCAGGAGCAGCAACAGGAGCAGCAGCAACAGCAGGAGCAGCAGCAGCAGGAGCAGCAACAGCAGCAGCAGGAGCAGCAGCAGGAGCAGCAGGAGCAGCAGCAGGAGCAGCAGCAACAGCAGGAGCAGCAGCAGCAGGAGCAGCAGCAGCAGGAGCAGGAACAGCAGCAGCAGGAGCAGCAGGAGCAGCAGCAGCAGGAGCAGGAGCAGCAGCAGCAGGAGCAGCAGGAGCAGGAGCAGCAGCAGCAGGAGCAGCAGCAGCAGGAGCAGCAGCAGGAACAGCAGCAGTAGTAGCAGTAGCAGCAGCAGCATCACCCCCTCCCTCCCCGGCTGCGAACACTTGGCAGGAGGCTCCTGAAGAAGATGTCTGTGACTCGGCGAGAGCGAGCCCGTCTCAAGCTGGGAGACGCGCAGCGCGAAGTGGCTCACTCTCGCGGAGGTAGTTGAGGTGGGAGAGCAGCATGTCGGCGTTGTAGGCCGAGGTGAGCTGCGCCATGTCCTCCTTGCTCATCTTGCACAGATCCTGGCCGTCCAGCGCGTGGAAGAGCGGCGCCTCCACGCTCACGAGCGCGTACTCCTTCACCGCCCAGTCCAGCCACTGGCGCACGTGCGCCGCGCTCCACAGCATGGGGTCTGCACGCGCAGACGGACATCAACACCACGCCACCAAAGACAAAGATCCCCCGTGTAACCTTAGCAGACTGTTGGGGCAAGTGATGTTAGCGAGTAGCGGCATCTTCAAAGGCCAGCCACATAACCTCGGCCACAACCACACACACCACCACCCACACCACCACTCACACCACCACCCACACCACCACTCACACCTCCGCACACATCACCAAAGATCCCCCGTGTAGCCTTAACAGACTGTTGGGGCAAGTGCTGTAAGCGAGTAGCAGCACCTGTGAAGGCCGGCACTATGGCACACGAGGGGGTGGGTGGCCAGCACCACGTCCGGCCGCCGCAGTGACAATATTTGTACACACAGCACCAGGTACTCATTTGAGGCTGGGTGGACCTACGGGAGGCCCAGCATCGGTTCACATATTCGTCACTGTTGTTGGCCGCGAGTGGGATTTGAACTCCGGTCGCCAGGTTCGCAGCGCAGCGCTAACCACTACACCACCGCTCCCCCCACCACCACCACCCAGCGCACACGCAGCGCTAACCACTACACCACCGCTCCTCCCACCACCACCCAGCGCACACGCAGCGCTAACCACTACACCACCGCTCCCCCCACCACCACCACCCAGCGCACACGCAGCGCTAACCACTACACCACCGCTCCTCCCACCACCACCCAGCGCACACGCAGCGCTAACCACTACACCACCGCTCCCCCCACCACCACCACCCAGCGCACACGCAGCGCTAACCACTACACCACCGCTCCTCCCACCACCACCCAGCGCACACGCAGCGCTAACCACTACACCACCGCTCCCCCCACCACCACCACCCAGCGCACACGCAGCGCTAACCACTACACCACCGCTCCCCCACCACCACCCAGCGCACACGCAGCGCGCTGGGGCAAATGTAATGTGATGTCACGAAGACCATGCCCGGCCGTCTTTGTCTCCCCAGGGCCGATGAGTGGGTGTGAGTGTGTAGTTGGAGTGAGTGTTGTTGTGTAGTGTGATGCCATCACTGGTTACACTGATTAATACGGCGCGTGCGAGCGCGCGGTTTGTACCCGCGGGCACGATGACGCGCTTCTCGTTGGTGGTCATGTTGGGAGGAGGCGGGGAGCCCTTCTCCTCCACGTAGCCGTAGCCCAGCTGCTGCGACGCGTCCACACCGCCGCTCGCTGCCGCCTTGGCCCTCTTCGTCACGCTGCTGCAGCCCACCGGCGCCTCTCTGTGCGAGACAAGCCGGCGCTGAGATCCGCGATTCGCCCGCGTTTCAACTACATACAGATTAAAACACATTTTATTTTCATCGTCCGATATCCTAAATGATCGGCAACGTTTGAAGTAACGTCTTTTTAACATGATAAAGGATGATTGTAGAAATAAGATTGAATACGTGCATGAGATACATTGGCGAAAGTCGAACACGGGATAACGAACCAATCAGAAGCCGGGAAGAGCGCGCGCGCGCCGATATTTCGCTGCACGTGGCCTGTGCCCGCCACACGGGAGCACGTGTCACGCAGTGTCGACTCAACGGCCATGAGCAGCGCAACATCGACAACGTTGACACCTGGGCACCGTGGTGGCGAGATGTTAACTCCCTCGCCTGGTCTACAGGAGGCTGCGAATTAGATCCCGACTCTGACGCCTGCTGCTCTATATTTGGAGTTGCGTGTCTCTCTCTCCCCGTGGTCGCGTGGATTTTTCCTCCGGGTCCTCCGGGTCCTCCGGTTTCCCCCTCCACATTTAGAATCAACGTCACGTGTTTAGAGTATATGGCTGCTATAATTGTCCACATGATTATAAGGGGCCGTCCATAAATGACGTCACACACCTGGGGGGGGGGAGGGGTCAGACATTTGTGACGATGTGTGACGAGGAGGGGGGGTTTGAGAAATGTGACGTCACATCAAAATGCGCAACTTGAAATAAATATATAATTGTTATAACAACACTAATTTTGTTTAATTTTCATGATTAACTATTTGATTATTTAAATTTACTAAGGTCACCTTTTATTTGCTCCATGAAGGAGCATTTTGCTTCTCCATGTGAGAATGGAGAAGCATACATTTTTAAAAACATTTTTATGATTGTTATTAAACATTTTGATTCTAATGATTCTTCCAGTGATTTTCATTCTGTGGAATGCATATATGATTGTTGTAATTGTACTCTCCATTTTCTTCGTTCTACTACAAAGTTTCAAGTATTTTTGTTTGTAGTTATAATTACTTTTAATATTTTATAATTATAAGATAATTTCAATATAATATTCTGAACATCTGCTGTTTTAGTTAGACTTTTAATATTTTAAAGTGGATTTTATGCTAAATTTAAGCTTTCCAACGCCTCCTAAACTCAAACACATGAAACACTCTTCATGAGTTTGAGTTTAATTTATGTTTACATGACGGATGATACTGTTGAGCCAGTTGCCCGGCTATTTTCCCGGGAGATCCGCGGTGCGTGATTCGATAATATAATGAGGACATACTAATTAAGTGTTAGCACAAATCCAACATATGCTGTATTGTCTAAAGAGTTAAATATAGCAACACAAAGCATGCCATCTGAGTGAGCAAAGCATCACTCATTATATCTTAATTTGGAGCTTTCGTGACTGCAGGGATTACTCTTTGATTCTTTCGGTAAAGTCACGTATGAACATAAAATAATAAATAAAATAATAGTATACTACGACGTTTCGATTGCAACACAAGCAATCATCATCAGTTATAAAAGAAATAGCAGCAAAAATCTAACCAGAAAACTATAGACAGACATATAAGCAGACAGATATCACAAAGATACAAAGAGAGAGAACACGTATCGGCACAAAGAGAGAGATCGTCTCTGTGACGATGCCTTAAATAGAGGGTGGGCGGGGGAGGAGAGAGGGAGGGGGCAAAGAAAAAATTAGCATGTCAATGAGTACGACGACGCGTGGTACGGTACGCAAGCTTGAAAATTAGGTGAACGGGAGAGAGACACACTAAAATTAAATAATTCTAGATTTGAAGCTTTCGTGACTGCAAGGATTCATATTCTTAGGTTTTTTCGGTAAAGTCACGTAGGTAAAAACATAAAAATTAATAAAAGTAAAATAAAATAAAAATCACGACGTTTCGGAGGCAACACAAGCTTCCGTCCTCAGGTGGAACCGTCACAGCCACGACAGCTGTATCAAGTAAATGAGAGATTGCAGGAGCTACCACTCCGTTTATATAATGGTTGGAGAGGGAGGGAAGGGCCAAGTACAACACACTTTTTATTCATATGGTAAGGTTAGGCTTAAGAGGGTGAGCCTTTGTTATGGTTTGTGACAACTAAACATGGTGAACATGGTAAACATGGTACACCTGTAATAGTTGTATGTCAAATAATAAATAATATTGGTCAAATAAGTGTAGTTAAATCTTTTTTGCATGGTTAATCACATCTTTCCAATGATTACTCAGTTTGTAACCATCATCACGGTTGAAATTGTCTGTGTTTGTATATTTGTATGGCTTCGTGTACAAACCTTTGATGGTAGCCAGGATGTTTGCAGAGAACCTTGGTCTCGGAAAAGACAATTTCATGAGAGCCCACCGAGTTGTAGCAATGATCGGCAACGGCCGAAGAATCAGTTCTGCCGTGTTTCAGATCTGACTTGTGCTCGCGGACACGATCAGAAACATGACGTTTCGTTTCTCCAATGTAGCAATCACCACAAATGCAACTCAATTTGTAGACTCCAGGATACTGTAAGTCAGGAACGACATCCTTCACAGATGGAATCAGATCACGGATTTTATGCACTGTACTGAATCGGACTTGGATGTTATGTTTGTTTAGAATTTTGGAGATCTTTTTGGTCATGCCTGCTATGTATGGTGACGTGATAGTTTTGGTCGGAATTTCATGTGGCTGTTTCTGTGTGGTGGGAGAAACAGCTTGGCGGATAGTGCGGTCAGAGTATCCGTTCATCCTGAGGGCCCGATGTACATGTCTTAATTCACCGGCCAGGTGGTGTTGGTCAGAAATGCCATGGGCTCTGTGGTATAGCGTTTTGATGAGAGAATTCTTTTGAGATGGGTGGTGGTGGGAATCCGGTTTCAAGTAGGAATCTGTGTGGGTAGCTTTCCTGTAGACAGAATGTCCCAAGGATCCGTCAGGCCTCCTCTCAAACAGAATATCCAAGAATGGTAGTTTACCGTCTTTCTCCACTTCCATGGTGAATCTGATGGATGGGTGTCTAGAATTGATGTGGTCCAAGAAGTGGTTCAATGCTGGGAGGCCATGTGGCCAGATGACGAAAGTGTCATCCACATACCTCTTCCACAGGGAAGGACGCAGGGTGGATGTCTGGATGGCGTCTGATTCAAACTTTTCCATGAACATGTTGGCTATAACTGGTGACAAGGGGGAACCCATAGGGGTACCCTCATTCTGTTTGTAGAAGGTGCCATTCCAGGTAAAATTGGTGTTTGTGAGGCAATGCCTAACCAGCGCAGGTACATCAGAATTCAATCCATATTGGACTAATTCCTCAATTATTGTTAGGGTGTCCGGTACTGGGACTTTGGTAAACAAAAATACTACATCAAAGCTGACGAGGATGTCATCAGGAGATAGTACCATGTCCTTAACCATAGAGACTAATTGGGTTGAGTTGAGTACTGCCGAAGAGGTCTTGCCTGTGAAGGGGAGCAGAGTATCTGATAGAAAACGGGCTAGTGTGTACGTAGGAGAGTTTATTGTCGACACGATGGGTTGTAGCGGGGTGCCTTCTTTATGGATTTTGGGAAGACCATAGAGTCTGGGAGGTCTAGCCGCCGATGGTTTTAGAGAGGGACGCTTGCTTGGTTCGATTAGGGAAGTCGAACTCGTGATGATACTGTTGGTTTTTGTCGTTAGGCTTTTAGTGGGATCGTTTTTAATTTTGGAGTAACTCCCATCATTAAGAAGGTCCAGGATTTTGTTGTTGTATGAATCTCACATCCGCTGCTGTGTCCTCACCGAACTCTAAACAGATCTTATTTAAAGCTAGCCTATCACTAATCTCGGAGAGAATAAGGTTACTCCGATCTGAACTCGATAATTTAGACAAGACTCTCTTACAAACACATTTAATGTTAACACAAAAAATGTCACCTTCCGATTGGAACCACGTTGATAACATGACTTCTGCTTCTGCTGACTCAATGTCAGCCAAATGCAAAGCTAACCTGTTTTCTAAATTCAACCTCCTATCTAAGAAGAAACCAGAGCCACACATCGCAAAGCTGGAAGTTAACAAGACCGTGATTAATCAGAGTAACATCCCAAAAGCCTAACGACAAAAACCAACAGTATCATCACGAGTTTGACTTCCCTAATCGAACCAAGCAAGCGTCCCTCTCTAAAACCATCGGCGGCTAGACCTCCCAGACTCTATGGTCTTCCCAAAATCCATAAAGAAGGCACCCCGCTACGACCCATCGTGTCGACAATAAACTCTCCTACGTACAAACTAGCCCGTTTTCTATCAGATACTCTGCTCCCCTTCACAGGCAAAACCTCTTCGGCAGTACTCAACTCAACCCAATTAGTTTCTATGGTTAAGGACATGGTACTATCTACTGATGACATCCTCGTCAGCTTTGATGTAGTATCTTTGTTTACCAAAGTCCCAGTACCAGACACCCTAACAATAATTGAGGACTTAGTCCAACATGGATTGAATTCTGATGTACCTGCGCTGGTTAGGCATTGCCTCACCAACACCTATTTTACCTGGAATGGCACCTTCTACAAACAGAATGAGGGTACCCCTATGGGCTCCCCCTTGTCACCAGTTATAGCAAACATGTTCATGGAAAAGTTTGAATCAGATGCCATCCAGACATCCACCCTGCGTTCTTCCCTGTGGAAGAGGTATGTGGATGACACTTTCGTCATCTGGCCACATGGCCTCCCAGCATTGAACCACTTCTTAGACCACATCAATTCTAAACACCCATCCATCAGATTCACCATGGAATTGGAGAAAGATGGTAAACTACCATTCTTGGATATTCTGTTTGAGAGGAGGCCTGACAGATCCTTGGGACATTCTGTCTACAGGAAAGCCACCCACACAGATTCCTACTTGAAACCGGATTCCCACCACCACCCATCTCAAAAGAATTCTCTCATCAAAACGCTATACCACAGAGCCCATGGCATTTCTGACCAACACCACCTGGCCGGTGAATTAAG